TAGCCTCTTTGTCTCTTGTGCATGGTTACCTGTATATATTTGATTGGATTTTCTAATGTTACATGGCAACCACAGGACTCATAAAATATTGCACATGCAAAGGTAGTTACTGAAGCTAGGAAGCCTTGGAGCCTGAGGCAGATGATGCAAGCCTTTCAAATGAGTTAACCTGAATAAAGAGGAGAGCCTGTAAGCCCAAGTAGCTGAGCAGACAAGGAATGCCTTGGGAGTCACATTAATAACTGAATTGACGATGGCATTGAAACCTTGCATTTTGTTTCGGTCCAATTATTTCAGTGTCTTTCTTACAGAGCCCAAACCAAAATTTAAGCTTAACCCCATGGGTTCAGTTACATACTTACAGAGTGTGTACCTCTCACTGTCTTAACTCAGAAGGAAGCTTTCATTTCAAATTATGTGAGCAAAAATCGGGGGATGTCCTGAAGACCCTATGGAAGCACGCTTCCACTTGTTTTACTTTTCTTCATAAGAGATGATTTTCACTTTCTAGAACACTCTTGCATACTTTGTCAGAACCCAGTGTCATTTTTGTGCTGTTTATAAATAGACACTTTCCACAATAACATACTTTATGCTTGTCTGTTGCCTGTTCCCATCTCACCTACACCCTACTGACACCTCTGTGTCTTTCATAGGCCACCGTTTACTTAAGATTCCTTACATCTTTGGAAAGTGAGCCTCAGGACTGCTGCCCTCCATTTTCTTCCAGGCTACTGAAGCTGTCTCATGGAGAACACTGGGAGGCAACATAACAGAAGGTGGTCGATGTACTGAATTTTTTTTTTAAGTTTATCTTTTTTTTTTTTTTACAGGCAGAGTGGATAGTGAGAGAGAGAGAGACAGAGAGAAAGGTCTTCCTTTTTGCCGTTGGTTCACCCCCCAATGGCCGCCGCGGCCGGCGCACTGCACTGATCCGATGGCAGGAGCCAGGTACTTATCCTGGTCTCCCATGGGGTGCAGGGCCCAAGCACTTGGGCCATCCTCCACTGCACTCCCTGGCCACAGCAGAGAGCTGGCCTAGAAGAGGGGCAACCGGGACAGAATCCGGTGCCCCAACCGGGATTAGAACCCGGTGTGCCGGCGCCGCAAGGCAGAGGATTAGCCTAGTGAGCCACGGCGCCGGCCCGATGTACTGAATTGTAATCACGTTGTAGTCCTGCCTTCCTAAGTTAGGCAGAGACAGAGGCATTCTATTACAGACAATCAAACAGAGCCAGGGACAGAAATAGCCAAAGACTACAAAGCTCATTGACAGTCGGTCAGATAGACAGAGATGACACAACGCATAGTGTCAGACATGCAAACAAAAAGATGGGCATAAAAGGGTAGACAGAGCCACACAAAAGAGAAAGGGAAAGACAGACAGGCACAGAAAGAGAAGGGCAGAGCCAGTGAGACAGTTACTGACACAGACAGGATTACATACACATAGAAGTCTATGATACATACACATAGAAGTCCAGAAAGAGAATGGCAGGTACACATCGAGACAAAAATGACAGAGAGACGGGCACAAATGAGCAGAGAGAAAGCATGCACCTGGGCAAGAGAAAAAGAACAGCTTCAGAGAGAACAATAGAGTGAGGTTGACAGACAGAGAGCGAGAGCCAGAGCGAGAGAGAGAGACAGGGATGGAGGCGGAGACAGAGGCAGAGACAGAGACAGAGATGGAGCCAAACAGACACAGATTAAGAGAGACAGCCAGGAAGAAAACAGTGAAAAAAGATTGATAAAGAGACAGAGATAGACAAAGACAGACAAAGGTAGAGATAAAGACATATAGAAAGGCAGAAAAGGATACAGAAAGAGGAAGACAGATAATAGAGACAAGAAGAGATAGTGAGTATCAGAGACAACAAGTCAAACACGTAGATAGGAAAAGACAGAGAGAACTCCTCCCCTTCTCTTGTTAAGGCTCGCATTGGGTACTACAGAGGTACATCTCCTTTGGGATGGCAAGGGCTTTGGCATTTAGTCTGTTGTCATGTAGCTTGACAGTTTTGTGTAGCTTTACCACAACTCTACATCTTGTTCTGCTTCCCCATTTCTCCACCAAGAGGCTGTGAAACAATGTAAATGTTAATGTGGGAGGCTTCCTCCCTCAGCTTCAGCAGTCAAAACAAAACAGCCTTAAAATGAAAACATAGACTGACATTGGGTAAACGGCCCAAGCTGGAAAATGGCAACAACCAGGATTTGCGAGAATTTAGATGAGTTGTAGTTCAGGGGTGGCTGCTTGGCATAGTGGTTAAGATGCTGCTTGGGATGTCTGCTTCCCACATTGCAGTGCCTGGGTTCTAGTGCTGGCCCTGCTCCAGATTCCAGATTCCTACTAATGTGCACCCTGGGAGGCAGCAGGTGATGGCTCAAGCAGTTAAGTTCTTGCTATCCACGTGTGAGGCACACATTCAGTCCCTGGCTCCTGGCTTCCCCTTGGACCAACCACTGGTGCCACAGGCATTTGAGGAGTGAACCAGGGGATGGGATATGCTGTGTCTCTCTCAGGCTCTTTCAAATAAATTAAATAAGCAAAGATGCTTTAAGTGAGTTTATTTCAGCTGTCAACATTTTACATTATAAAACTCCTTTCGACGATAAACAGCAAAAACCAACTGAAAGATGTCAAATTAGTCGCATTGCAAAACAGAAGCAGAACTCTCAATGTACATTTCTACCTCAGTAGTCTCTGAATTTCCAAAGGGAGAATACCCACTTTTTTCTTTTTTTGATTAAACAGCATCCTGGCATTCAGCTCAGGAACAAGTGATTTGAAATTTCTTAGAAAGTTCATGTAAAGGAATTAAATCTTCGAAACCCAAGTATTTTGACCATTATATTGAATCATTCCTTCCTCTTTCCCAAACATAAATAATTGAAAAAAACAAAATGACATTTGTTGTTTGTAGTGGGTTAGTTAGAGAAATTACAAGGTTAGTACAGTGAAGCGGGTGGCTGTGGAGGCACAGGGGAGTTTGCAAAATTAAGGAAAGCCATCAAAGTGTACAGCAGTGGCATCCTCAAGAGTCATTTCGTACCACTACAATGAAATTATTACTCCAACCTTATCGTGCAGGTTTGGGTTGGCAAAGCCTGTCAAATTTCCTTAAGGAGGAAAATGCAACATATACAGGGTGAAATGTACTGCCTTCACTGGCTGACAAAGTATAAAGTTTAACTGGGATGAGGAATACAAACCCACACAGGAAAATCCTGGTTTTAACTATGTAAAGCTATATAAAAAAAATCTATGGATTAAAACAATTTATTTGCTCATCCCGAATAAGTTTTTTTTTCACTCTTTCCACATACGTATTACTACTTTTGTGGATGCCAAAACAGTGTTCGAGGTTTCACATTCTTTAACCTCAGAAATCACTCAATTGAAATGAAAACAAGTAGGGATTTTGGGAGGAAGTGAGGTGGTGGCAGTTCACAAATTAGCAGTAATCAGGGCCTAGCGTTGTGGGGTAACAAGGAAAGCCACTGCCTGCAATGCCAGCATCACATATGGGTGCCTGTTTGTGTCCTGGTTAATCCACTCCGATCCACCTCCCTGCTAATGCAACTGGCAAAGCAGCAGATGATGGCTCAAGTGTTTGGCCCCTGCCACCCAAGTGGGAGACCCGGATGAAGCTTAGGGCTCCTGACTTTTTTCTGGCCAAGTCCTGGGCATTGCACCCATCTGGCAAGTGAACCAATGAATGGAAGATCTCTCTCTCTCTTTCTCTCTCTCTCTCTCCCTCCCTCTTTCTCTCTCTCTCTCTCTTCGTCCCTCCCTCCCTCTCCCCTCTCCAGCTCTCCCTCATTTTCTCTCTCTCTCTGTAATTCTTTCAAAATAAATAGATAAACCTTTGAAAAATATTAACAGCAACCAGATAGCAACCTATCCAAGTTACAATTAGCACTGTCTCTCCTTTTTGGACAAAAGTATCTACTATATCTACTTTAACCCTTGTGGATTACCAGCTTGGAATTCTCATCCCTTGATGTCTTTTCCAGGTGCCAAGGAATTCCCATTGTTGTCAAGAATCACTCCATTCCAGAGGATAGGTTACCAGTACTGCTCTTAAGCAGGAGGTAGTCGTCCCAAATACAATTCAAACTAAAAACATGTCTGCTGGGTAAATGTCATCAGCTTGCCTGAATTGCATTTCTGGGTGCGTATGCAATACCTGACTGTATGCCACAGACAAAAAATATATTTAGCAATGGAATAGCCCCAGAGCATCAAACTGTTTCTTCCCACCTCACTCTCAATAGAGGTTGCTGAAACTTTGAAATGTCAATATCGGGTAAAATTCTAGGTGAAATCAGACTTTTAAAATAATTCGTAAACATATGAAAATGAAAACCCAGTAAATTAAGAACTTCACTCAGTGGTAAGATATTGTGAAGGGGGAAAACAACTTGGTGATATCAGGGGCAATGGTGATAATAATTGGACTGGGCAACTCTAAATACATCAATTCAAAGAAAATTCAAAATAGTCTCTCAACGTTGAATTAAGCATTCTAAAGGAAATGCATGTTATAAAATATTTTGACTCACATAGTTGATTAGGTAGGCTCACAGTGACTCTCTAAAGTTCCTTGGTCTTGGTTGTCTCAGAAAAGATGTGGGGACTGATGTATGGTAACCTAGGAGGATAGGTTTCCACAGTAACAGCTCGACTGAGTTCTCTGGGTGTTTGCTGGGCTTTGAAATGTGCTATGGACAGCCTCAAACTTATGGGTTGTACTTTAGCAAAGCCTCTGACATAGTTGATCACCCACAACAGACCAGTTAGATCAGTCTACAGAGGCAGCTGGCATCTGGAGAACATCATTCACCCCTGTTCCTATGGAAGAGTTAGTTGCTCAGCTCTCTAGGCTTGTGCAGGGGTCTTCACTCTGAGCAGTGCTTCTCTCTCTGGGGAGGTACAAGAAGTTACAGGCCACATATATAGGGAAAACCACATCTTGGTTCTCCAGGTTTACTACCTCTAGCTCTTCATCCTTTCCAAGGGAAAGCATCTGGAATCCTGTGTCTTTCCTGAAAGTGGCTCTGCCAGCTCTGTCCAAGGAGGCCAGGCGGAGGCGGAATGCAACTTTTCTCTGCCAGAGTAAGCTGATACCAAGGCCACAGGACTTATTCAGTGCACTGCGCCGCAAAATGATGCGCCTGTTGGCATAGCACACCACCAGGTCCCAGCCAAAATTGAAGCCAGCCCACCTCCAGCTATGCTGCTCATCCTTGAGAAGCTGTCCCCCACACCGCATGCTGTTCCCCTGGAGGTCTGACACATAGATATCTGTGCGTCCCAGATCCCTTGTCTGTTCAGCCCGGAGGAGTGCAAGCCATTGCTCTTTGTACACCGGGGTTAACCACGAGGCAGGGATCAGAGCATCCTGGTCGATGACACGAGCAGCAGGCAGGTCACAAATTATGTAGGCGAGCCGCAGCTGCTGGAATGCTGGCACAAAGGCTCTACCCTGCTCGCTTTCCAGGAAAGGGACGCCTTCTGCCTCCCTCTTGTACCTGGCAAAGCACGAGTCCGCGTCAGGCAGCAGTGCTTTTCGGGAGCCTTTCCATGTGGGCTGCAGATGCAGAAACATCCACTTTTTCAGTGTGATGTACACATCCATTTCCACTTCCATCACCAAGAGCTCTGAGGAGGTGATGAGTTCCTTCATGAGATCCAGGCTGATTTCTCGCAGTAGCTCCTCCGTACAATGTGTCATCAGGTTGTCCAGCAGCCACTGGAAGCACATGGCCCTGATGATCTGGAGCCCATAGCTGTCCGCAGCATATAAGTAGCTGCACACGGTCTGGGCACTCACCCTCTCCTTCATGACCTCCTCACACTGCTGAATTAGCTCATCCAGCTGCAGCATGCTGGCCGTGGCCAGCATGGCGACAACTCGGCTGGGAGGGATGGTAACTACATTGCGATATAAAGAGCCCAAGGCCTCATGCAGGGCTTCACTATCAATGTTCTCGTCAGGCATCTGTAGCTCTATCGTATCCATGTTTGTCTCCCGCCAGGCACCACTGAACATGCTCCCAAAGTACCCTGACTGGCAAAGGTAGACTCTGTGCAAGTTCCATTCCTCCCCCAATGCCCGGATCTGTACGTCACTGTCTTCACCCCTCAGGAAGAGTGCCTCATAAACGGACAAGGATTTGTCTTTGGCACGCTTCCCAGGCAGGGTTTTTGTCAGTGGCCCGCCAGGACTGGCCCTCCGCTTGCGGCCGCCATGACTGGTAGTGGGTCTGTTCTCTTCACGCCCTTCCTCTCTCTCCACTACCACTTCCGCCTCCCCAGACGCCGCCTCCTGTTCCCTAGCGGCACCCGGTTCCTCTGGAGCACGAACTCCCTGGCGCCTCAGAAACCGACTGCTCAGGGCTCCCATGGTCTGTACCTCAAGGGCGCGGAAGGTGTACCTCTTTATCAGGCGAACCTTCCACAGAGAGAAGCTCTGCCCCGAGTGCTGCTGGGAACAAAAAACGTCTCTTCAGACGTCGTTATGCACGTTAAGCGAAGCCACATGGGGCTCCACCTTTACCCTTGTGGTACAATTGCGACCCCTACCTGGGAGGACAGTTAGGTGCACCTTTCTCTCTAACTGTGCTGCTCAGGAAATTATGACATTTTTGCTTGAATTTCTTCCATTACAGCGACTGATAAAAGCATCACATCCCAATGTAAAACATTTTGAGGCATTATATAATTGTCTTCTATACATCCTTATTTCCCTTATTAACTGCTCAGACTATTTCATCGCTGGTATCAGTGAGGGAGTTTTACCTGGTAAACACGTTTATTTTTGCCTCAGTTTTGGCTTGATTTTTAATTTTTTTCTTTATAATAAGGTTTGAGGTTGTAGTACCGTTTTTAACTATGTTATGTAGAAATCTATTGCTTTGGGCCTCAAGCTTGCATACTCATGCTCGCAAACCTTTATCTTTAGGGAATATCTTAAATCTCCAGAATATCTGGTAGCCTTAAGTTTTTTTTTTTCCTTTCCTTCTATTTGTACTTCTCAAATATTTACCCGCAGCATTTTTTTCTTGCTTACATCTTTCCATTCCTCAAAATTCAGGATCTCTCTCAAAAATCTTTCCTCACATATGCCAAAAAACTGCAGTTTTTAACGTTATTTTCATTATCATCATTAGATACTGAATGGCAGAAGCAAGGGTTATCTCCTACTTCAATCTGGATTACTAAAATCAGATACATCTATGGAATGCCTCGTCAGAGGGCCAGAATCAAGTATTTAAGAACTATTTTAAAAGTCTGGTTTCCTAGAATTTTACCCCATAATGACATTTCAAAGTTTCAGCAACCTCTATTGAGAGTGAGGTGGGAAGAAACAGTTTGATGCTCTGGGGCTATTCCATTGCTAAATATATTTTTTGTCTGTGGCATACAGTCAGGTATTGCATACGCACCCAGAAATGCAATTCAGGCAAGCTGATGACATTTACCCAGCAGACATGTTTTTAGTTTGAATTGTATTTGGGACGACTACCTCCTGCTTAAGAGCAGTACTGGTAACCTATCCTCTGGAATGGAGTGATTCTTGACAACAATGGGAATTCCTTGGCACCTGGAAAAGACATCAAGGGATGAGAATTCCAAGCTGGTAATCCACAAGGGTTAAAGTAGATATAGTAGATACTTTTGTCCAAAAAGGAGAGACAGTGCTAATTGTAACTTGGATAGGTTGCTATCTGGTTGCTGTTAATATTTTTCAAAGGTTTATCTATTTATTTTGAAAGAATTACAGAGAGAGAGAGAAAATGAGGGAGAGCTGGAGAGGGGAGAGGGAGGGAGGGACGAAGAGAGAGAGAGAGAGAAAGAGGGAGGGAGAGAGAGAGAGAGAAAGAGAGAGAGAGATCTTCCATTCATTGGTTCACTTGCCAGATGGGTGCAATGCCCAGGACTTGGCCAGAAAAAAGTCAGGAGCCCTAAGCTTCATCCGGGTCTCCCACTTGGGTGGCAGGGGCCAAACACTTGAGCCATCATCTGCTGCTTTGCCAGTTGCATTAGCAGGGAGGTGGATCGGAGTGGATTAACCAGGACACAAACAGGCACCCATATGTGATGCTGGCATTGCAGGCAGTGGCTTTCCTTGTTACCCCACAACGCTAGGCCCTGATTACTGCTAATTTGTGAACTGCCACCACCTCACTTCCTCCCAAAATCCCTACTTGTTTTCATTTCAATTGAGTGATTTCTGAGGTTAAAGAATGTGAAACCTCGAACACTGTTTTGGCATCCACAAAAGTAGTAATACGTATGTGGAAAGAGTGAAAAAAAAACTTATTCGGGATGAGCAAATAAATTGTTTTAATCCATAGATTTTTTTTATATAGCTTTACATAGTTAAAACCAGGATTTTCCTGTGTGGGTTTGTATTCCTCATCCCAGTTAAACTTTATACTTTGTCAGCCAGTGAAGGCAGTACATTTCACCCTGTATATGTTGCATTTTCCTCCTTAAGGAAATTTGACAGGCTTTGCCAACCCAAACCTGCACGATAAGGTTGGAGTAATAATTTCATTGTAGTGGTACGAAATGACTCTTGAGGATGCCACTGCTGTACACTTTGATGGCTTTCCTTAATTTTGCAAACTCCCCTGTGCCTCCACAGCCACCCGCTTCACTGTACTAACCTTGTAATTTCTCTAACTAACCCACTACAAACAACAAATGTCATTTTGTTTTTTTCAATTATTTATGTTTGGGAAAGAGGAAGGAATGATTCAATATAATGGTCAAAATACTTGGGTTTCGAAGATTTAATTCCTTTACATGAACTTTCTAAGAAATTTCAAATCACTTGTTCCTGAGCTGAATGCCAGGATGCTGTTTAATCAAAAAAAGAAAAAAGTGGGTATTCTCCCTTTGGAAATTCAGAGACTACTGAGGTAGAAATGTACATTGAGAGTTCTGCTTCTGTTTTGCAATGCGACTAATTTGACATCTTTCAGTTGGTTTTTGCTGTTTATCGTCGAAAGGAGTTTTATAATGTAAAATGTTGACAGCTGAAATAAACTCACTTAAAGCATCTTTGCTTATTTAATTTATTTGAAAGAGCCTGAGAGAGACACAGCATATCCCATCCCCTGGTTCACTCCTCAAATGCCTGTGGCACCAGTGGTTGGTCCAAGGGGAAGCCAGGAGCCAGGGACTGAATGTGTGCCTCACACGTGGATAGCAAGAACTTAACTGCTTGAGCCATCACCTGCTGCCTCCCAGGGTGCACATTAGTAGGAATCTGGAATCTGGAGCAGGGCCAGCACTAGAACCCAGGCACTGCAATGTGGGAAGCAGACATCCCAAGCAGCATCTTAACCACTATGCCAAGCAGCCACCCCTGAACTACAACTCATCTAAATTCTCGCAAATCCTGGTTGTTGCCATTTTCCAGCTTGGGCCGTTTACCCAATGTCAGTCTATGTTTTCATTTTAAGGCTGTTTTGTTTTGACTGCTGAAGCTGAGGGAGGAAGCCTCCCACATTAACATTTACATTGTTTCACAGCCTCTTGGTGGAGAAATGGGGAAGCAGAACAAGATGTAGAGTTGTGGTAAAGCTACACAAAACTGTCAAGCTACATGACAACAGACTAAATGCCAAAGCCCTTGCCATCCCAAAGGAGATGTACCTCTGTAGTACCCAATGCGAGCCTTAACAAGAGAAGGGGAGGAGTTCTCTCTGTCTTTTCCTATCTACGTGTTTGACTTGTTGTCTCTGATACTCACTATCTCTTCTTGTCTCTATTATCTGTCTTCCTCTTTCTGTATCCTTTTCTGCCTTTCTATATGTCTTTATCTCTACCTTTGTCTGTCTTTGTCTATCTCTGTCTCTTTATCAATCTTTTTTCACTGTTTTCTTCCTGGCTGTCTCTCTTAATCTGTGTCTGTTTGGCTCCATCTCTGTCTCTGTCTCTGCCTCTGTCTCCGCCTCCATCCCTGTCTCTCTCTCTCGCTCTGGCTCTCGCTCTCTGTCTGTCAACCTCACTCTATTGTTCTCTCTGAAGCTGTTCTTTTTCTCTTGCCCAGGTGCATGCTTTCTCTCTGCTCATTTGTGCCCGTCTCTCTGTCATTTTTGTCTCGATGTGTACCTGCCATTCTCTTTCTGGACTTCTATGTGTATGTATCATAGACTTCTATGTGTATGTAATCCTGTCTGTGTCAGTAACTGTCTCACTGGCTCTGCCCTTCTCTTTCTGTGCCTGTCTGTCTTTCCCTTTCTCTTTTGTGTGGCTCTGTCTACCCTTTTATGCCCATCTTTTTGTTTGCATGTCTGACACTATGCGTTGTGTCATCTCTGTCTATCTGACCGACTGTCAATGAGCTTTGTAGTCTTTGGCTATTTCTGTCCCTGGCTCTGTTTGATTGTCTGTAATAGAATGCCTCTGTCTCTGCCTAACTTAGGAAGGCAGGACTACAACGTGATTACAATTCAGTACATCGGGCCGGCGCCGTGGCTCACTAGGCTAATCCTCTGCCTTGCGGCGCCGGCACACCGGGTTCTAATCCCGGTTGGGGCACCGGATTCTGTCCCGGTTGCCCCTCTTCTAGGCCAGCTCTCTGCTGTGGCCAGGGAGTGCAGTGGAGGATGGCCCAAGTGCTTGGGCCCTGCACCCCATGGGAGACCAGGATAAGTACCTGGCTCCTGCCATCGGATCAGCGCAGTGCGCCGGCCGCGGCGGCCATTGGGGGGTGAACCAACGGCAAAAAGGAAGACCTTTCTCTCTGTCTCTCTCTCTCTCACTATCCACTCTGCCTGTAAAAAAAAAAAAAAGATAAACTTAAAAAAAAAATTCAGTACATCGACCACCTTCTGTTATGTTGCCTCCCAGTGTTCTCCATGAGACAGCTTCAGTAGCCTGGAAGAAAATGGAGGGCAGCAGTCCTGAGGCTCACTTTCCAAAGATGTAAGGAATCTTAAGTAAACGGTGGCCTATGAAAGACACAGAGGTGTCAGTAGGGTGTAGGTGAGATGGGAACAGGCAACAGACAAGCATAAAGTATGTTATTGTGGAAAGTGTCTATTTATAAACAGCACAAAAATGACACTGGGTTCTGACAAAGTATGCAAGAGTGTTCTAGAAAGTGAAAATCATCTCTTATGAAGAAAAGTAAAACAAGTGGAAGCGTGCTTCCATAGGGTCTTCAGGACATCCCCCGATTTTTGCTCACATAATTTGAAATGAAAGCTTCCTTCTGAGTTAAGACAGTGAGAGGTACACACTCTGTAAGTATGTAACTGAACCCATGGGGTTAAGCTTAAATTTTGGTTTGGGCTCTGTAAGAAAGACACTGAAATAATTGGACCGAAACAAAATGCAAGGTTTCAATGCCATCGTCAATTCAGTTATTAATGTGACTCCCAAGGCATTCCTTGTCTGCTCAGCTACTTGGGCTTACAGGCTCTCCTCTTTATTCAGGTTAACTCATTTGAAAGGCTTGCATCATCT